ATCTGATGACAGTGCTCATGGTCCTCTGCGCCGGCCGGCCCAGCGACGTCACTGGCATCGCCGCCTCTTCGGTGCCCGAGGCCAGGGTGAGCAGGCTGGCTGACTGACTTGACTAACTCAGCCTGATTGAAGGGTGACGTTCAGAGGTGAGGACTTGTTGACGGACGCTAGCTCTTTTTGTGTTGAATGTTTTGATTATTGTAAGTTAAAAATCGGCTGTTAATTTTTTGGGTAATGTGGTCTTCCCTGTCGTTTGGCCCCGCGCTTGACCTTGAAGGATGACCTTGAGATGTAGGAATTTTTGACTGACGCTAGCTCTTTTTGTGGTGAAGATTCTGAAGTTTGTAAGCTAAAAAACGTCTGGTAATTTTTGGGTGATACAGAATTCCCTGTCCTTTGAACCTGCGTTTGACTTTGAAAGGTGACCTCCAGACATCAGAATCTTTTGATGGACGCTAGCTCTTTCTGTGGTGTTAAATTTTGACGTTTTTAAGTTTAAAATCAGCCGGTAATTTTTGGGTGATATGAAGTAGTTACCTGTGCTTTGAGACCACGTCAGACCTTTAAGGGTGACCTTGAGACGCCATGACTTTGTGACGGACGCTAGCTCTTTCTCTGATGAATGTTTTGATCTTGGTAAGCTAAAAATCGGCCAGTAAATGTTGGGTGATATTGAGTTCCCCGTCCTTTGAGCCTGCGCTTGACCTTGAAGGGTGACTCTTAGAGATCAGGACTTTTTGACGGAGACTGGCTCTTTCTGTGCTGAATGTTCTGATGTCCGTAAGTTAGAAATCGGCCGGTAATTTTTGGGCGATACGGTGCTCCCAGTTCTTTGATTTCGTTTTTTTCCTTGAAGGGTGACCTTGAGAGATCAAGACTTGGACGGACGCTACCTTGTTCTGTGTTGAATATTGTGACATTTGCAAGTTGAAAATCGGCCGGTAATTTTTGGGTGATTTCGAGTTCTCAGTCCTTTGGCCCAACTTATGACATTGAAGGTCGCATGATATTGCAAATTGAGGGTCATTTTTGGTGTTGTCATGCCACAATTGACCTTGAAGCCAGTGGCCAGGGAAAGCCAGTCGGTGTCCCGTCACTTTTGTCGGCTCTGGACATACTCTCCATGTATTTAGACAGGGCCGCAGCCCAGCCGGTACCTACGAGTTGTCCGGTTGTGACGTGAACCACATCGCCTGGGAGAGCCTCCCTCGAAACAAAAATAATCAGATTGCAGCCACTTTGTTTCGGTTGACCCGGTGTTCTTCGTTTTAATGGTAAATGTCGCAATGTGTAACTGAAACAAAAAACAATGCTACCGGTATTTTGGTTCTCCCGGTAATGAGTCAGGGGTGGATCCAGAGAGAGTGGTCACTGGGCCGTGGCCTCCTCGGGCCCCGAAAGGGCCCCACAGCTAGCCGAACAGATGCAGTTTCTTCAAACACCAAACAACAAAATTTCTCTGAACTCCCAGGCCACCAAGGACATTTGCAAGCGAAAGCGATTGGCCTAAGAGAACAGAGAAAAATTATTCAATTTGAAAAACGTTAATGGAAAATTATA